TAACAACACTTGTTTACAATCTACTGCTGCTCAACATCACCTGCCAAGTAACGATAACAAAAGTTGGTAGAAAGCAGCAACGTTCACTTTAGAATTTCTTTGAATATGACTGAAAAATCAAAGCAGGTGTTTTGTAGTGGAAACAAGTGATAAAACAGCTGGAATACTTCTCAAAGGAAAAACTGCATGAATCAAACTCACATAAGATGCTAACTATGACTATCTGACACACTAGCTTCTCTCAGTAGCTCCATGAAAAACAAGCAACAGGTAGCAGCAGGTTGGAGACAACTATTGTCATCGTCCTAAAATTATCACCCAAGTCCTTAGTTGGCAAAATTGAGTTACATAATTATCTGTCACGTCTGTCTGTTGTTCTGTCTGTGGACAAAATTACTCAAAAACTTGTGGACGTTTTACATGGTGAACTCGGACTGATGAAAACTTTGGAGCTTAATCTGGGACCAGTTTGTGGATGAATAACGTTGGGTGACCAGTCTCTGACTTGTTTTTATTCACAGAAATCCCATCATACTGCCTGTTTAAATGTTCACTGTGTCAGAACTTATACTGCAAATGTGTTTCCCTCTCTGCTTTTGTGCATTAACTCTTACAGGATGGGGGAAATTGGCCTTGGCGGAGGTTTGCACTCTCAGAGTGCTCCTAGATTTAGGAAGGTGTTGTTATAATGGATGTTTTAACTAGTGACCAAATAACTATTGGTTAGTTAACTCAGCTGGAGGATGTATTGGCAAATATGTTTATTTAAACTATAAAAAAACCAATACTACAAATAATAAAAACTAAACTAAAACTAAGCATTAAAAATGCAATAATAACTAATAAAATTTATCAAATCCACTGTAAAAACTAATTAAAACTGAATTAAAAAGAAAAAAAGGTCACAAAGAAATAAAACTGAACTATATTGAAAAATCCAGAACTATTATAACCTTGGTTCAGGCTCCTTTCAGGTCCAGACCGCACCTGGTTCATTTGAATATGAATCAACACTCCTAAAGTCTGATGCTGATGGTGTAAATGTCCTTTCAGAGGACAGGAAGCCTCTGGTGGAGGTAAAGCTCGGCAGCTCCTTCCAGGAATTAGACGGCACCCGGGAGGCTCCAGAGCGTGGGCTCCGGCCCTCTTCCTCCTTCAGCAGACCTGCCTCAGCGGGACCGTCTAAAGCCGTGGCTCCGCCCCCTGTCCCTAAAGACGTGGCTGTAGAGAAGTACTCGGGCCTGCGGCTCAGGTCAGAACCTGGACAGGATGGCAGCCAACCTCACGCTTCACAACCAACTGAATCCGCTCGCTTGTCTCTCAGGAAGCCGCTGGTTTCCTCCTGCGAGATGGACCGCAAGATGGCCGACCGGCGCCTGATCCGCCTGTCGCAGGTGCCGGAGCGTTTGAGCCGGGAGAAGCTGGAGGACAGCGACTGGGTGACGTTTGCGGTGCTGGTTARCAAGGCCACGCCTCAGAGCAGCAGCAGCGTGAGAATCTCACCCTGAAGGTTAGTTCCTCTAAACGTCGGCTCTTTTCACGTCTCTGTCGCTCTGCAGGGGAAAACCTTCAGCATCTGGAAACTCTGCGACCTCCACAACCTGGACGTGTTCGTGTCTCTCTTCCTGTTCGGAGACGTCCACAAGGAGCACTGGAAGAGGGACCCGGGGACGGTGGTGGGACTCCTGAACCCGAACCCCATGAAGCAGARGGACGGGAACGACCGGGTGAGTTTCTCCTGAGGGGTCCAACAGGACCACGGTCTGCTCAGAACCGGGTCTGTTCGTTGGAAAACGTTGGCTTCTGAAAGGTTTGGCTTTAAAAACAAAACGTGGAAAAATCGAAAGGTCGGCTAAAAGATAAAAGAATGATGGTGGAAGAAGGCGGTCCTGGTAACATTTTTAATGTGGGGGTTAAAAGACGTGTCCTTATCAAAAATAACACCAAGGTTGTTTACATT